AGTGGTACTTACAGTTTTTTCAAGCTCTCGCGAGACGAGAGTCTCGTCTCGAGAGACGAGAGTCTTGTCTTGCGAGACGAGAGTCTCGTCTCGCGAGAGGGTGGTAACTTACTTTTGAGCGGTACTGTAGTTTATGATCCGAGGGACAAATGTAGCTTGCAGAACAGGCGTAATTTTTTTGCCTATGTTAGTAGAACAGAGGCGAGAGAGAGGTGAGCGCGAAGCGTGAGTCACGCATGAGGGGAAGAGCACGAAAAAAATAATGCCTGTGCCCAAACCATTGTTCAAGCTTTACATCACGTGATCCTCGAATGTTTTTCAAATTGCAGCATCTTGAATTATCATGTTGTTCTGTGGATGAAGCTAGCTATTCAAGAAGCCCTTTGTTCATTTCCGAATGTGCCTCCTTCCTCGCTGCCCTTTAACCCATTAACCCTGCATGAAATTGCCTGTGACCCACTCCTGATAGCCAGGCATTTTTGGAATATCTCAGAGCTAAAAGGAGCACAAAAATAGATCTGATGCGCAGTATTAAACCACAGACACAAGATCAGATTTTAAGACATCGTTTATTTATAGTTTAATCATAACAATTATAATTTCCCCAAATGTGATTGGTGCCTAAACTGCTGTATTTTGCTCTAATTAATCTGCAAAGTTGTAATCGGACAGTGTAATCGGACAGTTGGCTGTAATTGGACACCTGTAATCGGACAGTTATATGAGCCAATCATTTTAAGTCCTCTCCACTGAATCCACCAATCACAACATTGATTACAATCACTTTAGTAACCAATTCAAGAGACTGATTTTGTAAAGCTGTGGAAGTTTAGTCTCAGGTGACTGTTTTGAAAGAGACTTGACAGCCATTTTGCAAGCTGTTRTCCATATTTTATAATTATGATATTTAAAAATGACTATTAAAGGCTCTTTTTCAAATGAAACTTTTACTTTTGTGGGAAATTGTAATTGTTATGATTAATTGGTAACAGGACATCGTGTCGTCCAATTCAG